TCTTATGATGCACTTTAATTAAATCTTCCCCCCCGCTTAGAGTATAATCAATAAATTGAATATGCAGAAATCTTAAGATACATTAATAAAAGTAATTTTACTATCTCTTTAAACCTTGACTCAAGGAGGATAGTTCTTCCCTGAGTCAGAAATAAACTAGGATAGATTCCATGACTCTTTCTTATACTTAATAAAAATTCTTATAGACACTTGAAGTCACACTCCAGTCTTATTTCAATAATTAAAATTGTGTTAGAACAATAGAGTAAATAAGTTTTCAATGTTCAGTCAAAGATGAAAAATGTGTTCCTGCTTCCTCAACAAGGGAGGGGAATTTCAAGCAGGCACCTCATCTTGTCCCACCTGCCTTCCAAACCTCAGCTGCTTACTCAAGGTCAAGCCTCAGCCACCACCACTGTTGCCTCACCTCAGACACTACACTCTCTTTTAGCCTCCCTACATGCGCTATTATGGAATTGTAGTAGCCGCTCTTAATCCCCTCTAATTGGACCTGTGGAGACTCTGGCTCTCCTGCAATTTCCACATTCTGCAAGTTATTATAGAGTCTGGCTCCTCTAGTGGTTGCCTGGTGGTTGGGTAGGAGGGGACAGGGTCCTGGGAACACAACCAAGAAAGGTCAACAGTAGAAAAATTCATGCCTCATGAGTTGAACTTAGACCAAAGGGAGACGAGAGATGTAGAAAAGCCAGCAAGTGAATGCTTCTCCATTTCTTCCATTAAAGGAACATTCTAAGTCATAGTGGTTCCACAAGTCCTGTTTGGTAGGCGCACCCTGGGAAGAAGCAACTAGTTATGTGTGCTTGTGAAGCTGCAGCGGCAGTAATGTTCTGCCTGGTATGTGCTTTCCCTCTTTCCCTGTCTCATTGCCCTTTATTTTGATCTTGCTATATTAAAAGTGTCCTTTTCAATGAAGTCTTAGTGCATAAACTTTTAATGGGGCTTTATTTTTTTTATTTCATCATATTATGGGGGTACAAATGTTGTTAAGGTTACATATATTGCCCTTGCCTCCCCTCTGCCCTCAAGTCAGAGCTTCAAGCGTGTCCAACCCCCAGGTGGTCCGCACTGCACTCACTATGTAAGTATATACCGATCCCCTCCTACCCCCCATCCACCTGTTGCACATCTGATAAATGTTTTTGTTTTTGTTTTTGTTATGACATTTGGTTACATTTTATATTTTTTAGGGAACCCAGACCAAGACAGAGTGGTTGTCTGGTTCTTTCTTTCTCCCCATAAGATAGCAGCTTTCTCTCTAAGCCCTTGAGGGCAGGATTTGACTGACACTGTTATATTATGGCTCTATACTCTGTGACTCTCTTGTTCACTGGACACTTTGTGGAGATCCCTGAGTGGATCCTCTGACTACAGCTCGCTTCATGAAGCTGTGCTTCCTCTGCCACTGCTGTCTTCAGTGACACATCTCACAGCCTCTTGCTGGTGGGCATCCTTATGTCATGTTCTTTAGTTAGTTCCCTTGAGGTCCCTCTCATAAGAGTTAGTTAAGTTGCATCCCTCATTCCCATGGGCAGAGGGAGAGATGGCAGGTAACTCACATCACTCCAGTGGTTCTCCTCAAACACCTGTCTCCAAAAAAAAAAAAAAAATACTCTCCTTTATTTCTACCTTGAATAAATGAATATTCTTAATATGTGAAGGATTAAAAAAATCAAATACTGCACTTGAGATCTACCACGATATTCTGCATATGATCTAGTATCTCCTTTAAAATTCAACATCTATTGTTTTGCCTCAGCAAAATCCCACTTTAATATTTTTGGTAATGAAAAGGATGAGAAATAGGATGTTGGCTAAAGAAAGATCTAAAGTTCAGGTAGTATTTTTGTTTTGTTTTGTTGTAAAGTGAGAAAGATTTTTTTTTTTTTTGAGACAGAGTCTCGCTTGTTGCCCAGGCTAGAGTGAGTGCTGTGGCGTAAGCCTAGCTCACAGCAACCTCAAACTCCTGGGCTCAAGCAATCCTACTGCCTCAGCCTCCCAAGTAGCTGGGACTACAGGCATGCGCCACCATGCCCGGCTAATTTTATATATATATATATATTAGTTGGCCAAGTAATTTCTTTCTATTTATAGTAGAGACGGGGTCTTGCTCTTGCTCAGGCTGGTTTCGAACTCCTGACCTCGAGCAATCCGCCCGCCTCAGCCTCCCAGAGTGCTAGGATTACAGGTGTGAGCCACCGCGCCCGGCTGAAAGATTTTTAAAGTTTCAAAATCCTGTTTACATAGACCCAGTAGAGAAGAAAAGCTTGAAAAGATATAATAACAAAAGAATATTTATTTTTCTCTTTTTTAGTTTTCTAATGTGCAAAATGATGCTAATAATATTTACTCACACAGAGAGGTTGTGAACGTTAAATGAAATTTTAAAATGTTAAAAGCATTAGCTATAGCAGTTTCAGAATAAGAGCTCAAAGAATCTGGAATTTGATTATTAAGCTGGGCAAATTAAAACAATCTTATAGAATCATGATGTAGAGCTCTTTTTTTGACACAGCTGTGAATCTGATAGTTTTTCAGTGTTTCATATGGGCATTTTTCTTAAAACACGGACATTTTGGAAAAGGTCTGGAAATAACCATATTTTTCCCTAAGTTTCACTTACAAATTTTTGAAATATGTGACACATTTTCTCTTAACAAAATAATATTGCTAATAATGATGGTATAATCATCAGCTTCTTTTCAATTTCCATGCAAAGACTCTTACCTATGGGAGAATTTATTAACTTGAAACGTGAAGCATGAAATTCTCATTTTAAAAATGTAATCAGCATTCTAAGCATGAAGACAATCTTTTGACCAGGGAAAGAAAACTTCAAAAGAATGGATTGGCCAGGCACGGTGGTTCACTCCTATCATCCTAGCGCTCTGGGAGGCCAAGGTGGGAGGATTGCTTGAGCTCAGGAGTCCAAAACCAGCCTAAGCAAGAGCGAGACGCTGTCTCTTCTGAAAATAGAAAAAAAAATTAGACGAGTGTGGTGGTGTGTGCCTGTAGTCCCAGCTGCTTAGGAGGCTGAGGTAGGAGGATCACTTGAGCCCAGAGTTTGAGGTTGCTGTGAGCTATGCTGATGCCATAGCACTCGCTTAACCAAGCTACCGAGTGAGACTCTGTCTCAAAAAAAAAAAAATGTATTGTTTGCCTTTTTGTAAACTTAATCTCGATCTTCCTTATAAAGGAGCTAATATTTTTGTCATCCCTGCTATTGGCTTGCAAGTTTGGTTTCATGTGGAATGGTTAAGATCAATCTATGCAATTATAAACAATCAAGAAGAAAAGAAAAAAATCAATCAATAATGGTCACAAAAAATATATATGCTGAAATGTTGAATTACTTTTTACTATGTCATATCACATGTAACCCAAGCTGAGAATTATATTTGCTGGTATTTATGACTTTGAGGTTATAAAATATTAGTTTATTAAATTGGCATTCCATAGTTATTTCTGACTGTTTAAGATAAATTTCTTTCACTGTTGTCTCCTTATTCAATACCTCTTATAAGACTAATTATTGTTATCAGTTTTACAAAATGCTCCCTCTTTTATACCAAGAAATTTAAATTTTATTGGAAAGCCAGTTATTTCTGACTGTTTAAGATAATTTCTTTCACTGTTATCTCTTTATTCAATACCTCTTATAAGACTAATTATTATTATCAATTTTACAAAATGCTCCCTCTTTTATACCAAGAAATTTAAATTTTATTGGAAAGACCACACAACTCCCTACATATCTAAATCACAGCTAATTTATATATATTTCATTATAAAGAAGAATTACCCCCCATATTCAATATCCCTTAGTAAGTTAATATTTACTGGTGAAAATTGGTATAATAATTACCCTTTCCTACTTTTCTTTATCCTAACTCTAATATATCCTTCATATACTGAATCCACTTCAGGGTTTTAGATCAAAAAGCTGATAGCTGCAGTAGTTTAGATGGTAGTAATTGGAATTCACAGTTATCCACTCCCACACCCCACTACTGCTCTCTCAGACTTGTGGCAGCCCCCTCTAAATAGTCAGAATACAGCCAGTGCAGACCTGAGTCCTGGGAAATATTAATAGCATTTGCCAGTAACAAGGCATCAGTCTATATGTTTGACCAACAGTATACTCAGATTTACCACTATGAAAGATTAAATTGCCCTTCTTTCCAAATAGCATATGTTTCAAAGGTTTTGAGAACTCCACCAAGAATTCTCCAATTTGGTTTTATCCTGAAGGAAATTTTCCATTTATTGGAAGTTCAGATTTTAAACCCTAAAAAGCAGTATTAGTCCACTTGGGCTGCTATAATGAAATACCAGAGTGGGAGGCTTAAACAACAGACATTTATTTCTCCCAGTTTTGGAGGTTGGGAGGCCCAAGATCAAGGTATCTGCAAGATAGGTTTCATTCCGAGGTGGTTTCTCTAGGTTTGCTGGCTGCTGCTATCTCAGTGTGCTCACATGACTTCTTTTTTGTGCTCATGCAAGGAGAGAGAGAGAGAACAAGCTCTCTGGTGTCTCTTCTTAAAGGGCACTAGCCCTATCAGATCAGGGCTCCACCCTTAAGACCTCATTTAACCTTAATTACCTCCTTATAGGTGCTACCTCCAAATGCAGCCACATTGGATGTTTGGTCTTCAACTTATGAATTTGGCAGGGGGCAGGGTAGACAATTCAGTCCATAGTGGAGACCCTCCATTTCATGCTAGAAGCTGAGAGGTTCTGGGAAAAAAGGAAAGGATGAAACACCATGGAACTCCTCTTTACCATATCTCCCAGGTTTGAATTCTCTCTTTCTTTATTTTCCATGTAGCTTTTCCAAATCATCTTTGTTCTACATTGACTAATAGGAAGTTCTGCACCAGAACTTTTGCTAAAAAGGGATACTCTTGATATAGAGGCCTAAGGGAAGGCTCTGAGTCCAAAGGATTCAAGAACACGCAGATTTTAAGATAAATTTCAACTTAAAACATGCTCCCTCATGGTATTAAGATTTACCTTAAGTTACTTTCCATTTATAAAGCATAATGAAGAGAAACCCCCTACATAAACCATTTCCTAAATGTGCTTATTAGAAAACACAAAACTTGACCAGGCTTCAACATTCTGAGAATATAATTACCAACTAAGATACAAAGAACTTTCATACCAAGTTATTACTTGCTAAGTTATTAATATTATTCTTTGTTAAATTATTATTCCTAGATTATGACATTATAATAAAAATAAATAAAGACCTCCATCTTAAGAAAAAGAAATTCTCCATAGTTTGGTAACATTATTATAATAATGGAATATTCCTTGGTAAATTAACAACAAAACTCTGGTTTAACTACAATAAAATCAATACTACTACAAGTTTGAGATTCAACTACATCCTAATGCTTACTATTTTTACTTTTAAAAAAGTAAATCATAGGAGCAATATAGAGAAGAAGGCATGTGTGTATGTGTACATGCATTTTCACTTTTGCAATTCATTGAAGGAACAAAACTTATACCATATTCACTATTGTGCACATAGCACCTAGCATAGCCACTGACATGGAATAGGAGCTCAATACAAATTACATTACCTATTTAATTAATCTTCATTGTATTCCTAGTGTATGACCCAAACTACCCTGTACAGTCACAATTAAAATTATCAGACACTGTCCATTGTCTTCAAAGAGATTACAGCTAAATAGGGAGACAAAGCCTCCTGCATAAAGCTATTAGGAATTCATTAGAGAATAAATATCTTGAGATAACAATGCAAGATAATAAATATGTGGTTAGGTGTGAACAACTGCACTTAATAACAGAACCAGACAATGGTGTTACATTTCATAAACTGTAGGATCAGAATAGTTCTCTTCCTCTTGTATCCAAAACAAAGGTGTCCATATTACACAGCTATTTAGAGGAGTAGGGCAATTTCAACCTTGAAGCAGACATGACCAAGCCTCTACTCATGCCCCAACATGCTTCTTTGCTAATGATACCAAACGTCTTGATTGAGACTAACAGGTGTCATAGTACTTATTTAGTTGCTGTCTGCCTCATCTATGTGGCTAAAATGCTTTCTGATATCTTTAATACTGACATAATAGCTAATAATATAAGCAAACAGAAAGACTATCCCATTGTCCTTGCATGGTATTGAGAAGAATTTAGAGAGCCATACAGCTGGTCATGAAGGATTTTTTCATATTTTTATTTTCATTACTACAACCTAATGTACACACACAACCTTTTGTGGATATCCTTTGTAAGTTCTATAAATTTAAATTTATAAAATAAATGTGTACACATTTTATCAATAAAATAAATTGATATGCATATTTCAATTACAAATTTTATCATTTATAAAATGCATTTATGTTAGTAAAACATGCATTTGGGTTTTGTTTATTTGACTTTTAAAAATAACTTGCTTATAATTGCTAATAGTCTAAAGTACCATAATATTAAACCAAAGTTCATTCTTGCTTCATTTTAGTTTTACTATTCATTCTAATAAAAGTGCTTTACATGAGAGCAATACGAACTTTTACAAACTAATCACCTTCATTGGGTCCCTATTCTCTCTGTTGCATATGTTGTTCCCACTGTCCCCTTCAGTATCTTCGACTTCACTGGCTGTGTGTTTCCTACTTTAATTTTTATCTCTCTAATCATCTGTTTCCTTCACTAACATTTGGAGTAGCTTTCCCCTGACCATTAATACATCAATGGATTGTATATGTGCCAGGAATTTACTGCAACATTACCAAACTACTCTAAAACTACCTAATAGCAGAAAGCAGCCATTCTATGTGACTTATGATTTAGAGTTAAGGTGTCCAAGAAGGGCTTGGCTTGATGATTCATCTTTAATCTTCTTGATATCAGTTTGTATTGCTAGGGCAGCTGGGGAATATACTTGTGTTCCTTGTGTGCATTCTTTCCCCACCCCCTATCTCTCTCCCTCTTTCTGTTTCCCTCTCTCCAGAGCCTTTCCCTGTGGCTTGGCTTGGACTTATAGCATTGTGGTTTCAGGGTAGTTGCAGTTCTTACATTGCAGCTGGCTTTCCAAAAGGCAGAAAGCAGAGCCTTCTAGGCTATGAAGTGCTGGTGCAACATCACTTCCTCCATACGCTATTGTATTGTTGCTTCAATGAGAGATCGTGTGTCTACTTTTATATCCCTGACTTAGAATACCTTCCTTCTTTCACTCCTCCAATTCATGTCGCTCTCTATTCCTTTAGAAAACATGCTTCTGTAACTTCTTTCCAGATTAATTTCATCTCTCTAATAAGTCCTTCTCCCTCAGAACTTAGACACTATCTTCACATATTGTCATATGTAACGGACATCTCTAGCTTTTTGACTGTTCGTCATTGAGCACTTCCCTGACTATTAGTAATCCAAATTTATTTGCGAAATCTATCATTTTGTAGAAATCGTTGGTGCTATTAGCCACTTCCTATAGAAGAAGCTGGATTATTCAGGGTTCTCTGATGAAATAGAACCAACAAAATGTTTATACATAAAGGGAGATTTATTTTAAGAAATTGGCTCCTGTAATTATGGAGGCTCGGTGAGTCCAAAATCTGTTGGGGTAAGCCAGCAAGCTAGAGTTTCAGGGAAGAGTTGCATTTTAAGTCCAAAGGCAAAGTCCTCTGGCAGAAAGGACTCTTTTGCTCTTAGGAGGTCAGTCTTCATTTTGTTAAGGCCTTTCAACTGAGGCCCACCTACATTGTGGAGAGTAATCTTTTCTCAAAATCCACTGATTTTAATGTTAATTTCATCTAAAAAAGCACCTTCAGAGAAATATTCAGAGTAATGTTAGACCAAGTTGATGCATACAATTAACCATCACAGA